CCCGTTCTTCCGAATGATCTGCTACCTCCACCCCATAGCTCACCAGCAGCCCCGGCTGGTGGAGTGCCCCTTCTCCCCCCGGCCCTGTCACCACAGGTAGTTCCCTCCCCGGGAGTCCGGATAGCACATGCAGATGAATTTGACACGGTAAGCTCCCATGGTTACCAGTCCCCACCAGACTCCAGGGAGGTTTCGCCCCAACCTCCGCGACGTTCTCTTAATGATCCCTTTGGTCGCAAGGTTCAAGGGGACAAAGCCCCGGTAATGTATGTTACCTTTAACCCAACACAGGCCAGTGCCCTGATGAAGTCACTCCCTGACCCAGAAAAGCAACCTATGCCCTTTTACAGAGCAGTGGTCCAGATTCAACAGACCTATTCCGCCGCATGGCGTGATTTGCTGAGCCTCTGTGCCATTAAGGCTGGAGATGCCTACTGGCCTAGCATTGCTCGCCACCTATGCACTAATTGGTTGTCAAGTGATACTGATTATACGTCCGGAATTGAGTTTTGTGATCAGCTAAAAACTTGGGCCAAAGATAAACTTGCTGATCAGGCAGCCGGACTTAATGATATTGTCCAGGAAAAAGGTGAATCCGTAGAGAGGTTTCACGCTAGGCTCTTTCAAGTATTCTCTGACCTAGGGTTTGAACTTAGCAATAAAATACATGCCCAAATGCTTTCTGGTGCCTTTGTACAGGACATCAAAGACTCTATACGGAAAGGTATTATTGCTGCCCGCCCTGAGTATAGAGTGGTTTCCCTTGATAAGCTGCTTTTAGTTGCCCGTGGTTTGGAGGCAGCACAGGTGCCAAGAAGATCTAATCCCACCCCCCTTATGATATCACGCCGATTCCCAGAGGCACTAGGCCTGAGGATGGAATTTGCTTTAATTGTGGGGTGAAAGGCCATTTTAGAAGTGACTGCCCTGAACCCATAAAACACCGGAGGCCATACGCTGGCAAACAAACTTCCAAGCCCGCCACTACCACGAAGGCCCCAGAAACCCCTTCACCTGATTCAGCCCAAGAAGACTAGGACACCGGCAAGCCTGTGTCATTAACCCCTGTTATGGCAGTGTCTTCAGGGGAACAAGGGGGGCCTCTAGCTACTGTAATTTTACCCATTGAGGGCCAGCCCACCACTTTCCTAGTTGACACAGGTGCAGCCCGAAGTGTTCTGAGAGAACAAGACCTGCCTGATACCTCATTTCTTTCCAATATTGATGTCTCCTGTGTTGGGGTGGACGGCCTTCCAAGGCAAAGTCCCCTGTCCACCCCACTGCGGGTTGGTAACTGCCACAACTTGCTTGCTCGCTTTGTGGTATCTTCCACATGCCCCATTAACCTGTTAGGAGCTGATGTTCTTTCACGCCTGCAGGCATCCATCACCTTTACTCCAGATGGACAAGTGGAACTATCCACCCCTCTATCTGTCTCAGACACCTCAGCTTTGTGCTCCTTACCCCTGATGCTACATCTAGAAGAGCCTCATGGGGATGCAAAAGACCTAAGGACTAATTTCCCTGATTCACTAAAGACTGATGTTCCCAAGAAGCTGTGGTCCACAGGCCCAGAGGACATAGGCCATCTAAAGGTCCCGCCTGTGGTGGTAAAGCTCATCCCAGGCGTAAAATTGCCACGAAAATCACAGTATCCTTTGAAACCAGCTCAAGCTGCAGCCATTACAATTCAAATTCAAGCACTCCTGGAGAAGGGTGCTCTTGTCAAATGTGAATCACCATGCAATACTCCATTATTTCCAGTAAAGAAAAAGACTCCAAAAGGCGAACCAGAAAAGTACAGATTGGTCCAAGACCTCAGAGCGGTAAATGAAGCCACAGTTTTGGACACTCCAATAGTGCCCAACCCACACACTCTCCTTTCCGGCGTTCCACCCTCTTCCAAGTACTTCACTGTCATTGATCTAGCCAATGCCTTCTTCAGTGTTCCCCTGGATCCAACTTGCCAATATCTGTTTGCTTTCACACATGACAAACAACAGTACACATGGACTGTCATGCCCCAAGGGGCACAAAATTCACCAAGTCAATTTGCGAAGGCCATGTGCTCTATCCTTGATCCATGGCAATCTGACCATCCTGAGGTCGTCCTGCTTCAATATGTGGATGATTTGCTGCTTTGTGGAGATGATATACCCACAACAGAACAATGCTCACTTAATCTTCTTTGCTACCTAGCAGAACAAGGATGTAAAGCTTCACGTCTCAAGCTGCAATTCTGCCAACCTACTGTTATCTTCCTTGGCCATTGTCTGTCTCAGGGAACCAGACATCTTACCCGTGACCGAGTTAGAGCGGTACTGGACATTCCACCTCCAAGGACCTCGAAGTCACTACACGCCTTCCTAGGCCTCATTTCCTATTGCCGAGCATGGATCCCAGAAGCCTCGCTCCTTATGCAACCTCTTTATGATGCTCTCAAGTCAGACCCATTTTGCTTGTCCACAGAAGCCCTTGACAACTTCTGTTCTCTCAAACGTGCTATTGCTTCTGCTCCTGCTCTTGGCCTACCAGACTATACCAAACCCTTCAAATTGTTTGTTTCTGAAAGACAAGGCCATGCAACAGGAGTACTCACTCAGGCTCATGGTCCTGGAGGCCGCCAAAGGCCTATTGGATTTTTCTCCTGCCAACTGGATATTGTGGCCAGAGGACGTCCCTCTTGCCTTCGGGCCGTCTTTGCTGCCAGAGAACTCATTGAAAGAACTGGAGATCTTGTCCTTGGCCACCCCCTGGTTGTCTTGGCCCCTCATGACATTTCTGCCATAGTCAACCAGGTCCAACTTAAGCATGTTACTCCTGCCAGGCATCTTCGCCTTCAATGTCATCTTTTGTTGCCTGACAACATTACCCTCCAAAGATGTCAAGTTCTCAATCCGTCCACTCTTCTGCCACTCCCTGAGGGGGGTGTATACTACGGATTCATCATGGACGAAATTTATGTTTCTCTTCTCACTGGCACCATCAAGAAGGAAATGCATCCCAACCTATCCTTTTATGATGGACAAGCACTCCTTCATGATGGAGCAGGACATGCCTTCTGTACCATGTGGTACAAACCAAACATCACTCCTGAACCCTGCTATGAAGATGAACTCTATAAGCTGGTTGAAGTAAAACTCACTGCACAAGACTTCTACTGTGATTCTGAAGGCAACAGTATGGTCTTGATTCATCTACCTCCGGAACTCAAGCATTTGCACTGTCATTGGGACACTGCCATTCCACATGTCCCTGTGACCAAGTTGAAAACAATATCATGGAATGATCTTGGGCCTATGGCAAAAGCATGGGCCACTATGGACGAATCACAGCTACGGGAAAATGGTGTTGTCAAATATCCGACAACTGACCACCTAAAAGCATGGCCACGTCATTTCCTGGAGAATGAGTTCCAAGATTTAACCATAGAGAATGACTACGACCTAGATACACCTCATGACTGTTTTGAACAGATGAAAATGGAAACAACACATCTACCAACTGTGCATGAAGACCCATTGGTAGATCCCGATCTCACCCTGTTTGTGGACGGCTCAAGATATGCTGATGAAGAAGGAAGATACCATACAGGATATGCCGTAACCACAACAGATGAAATTGTCAAATCATCATCTTTACCATCAACTATGTCTGCACAAGAAGCTGAATTGCAAGCCCTGACTCCAGCATGCAAGATCTCTGAAGGAAAGCGCGCCAATATCTACACGGATTCAAGATATGCACTGGGCGTGGCTCACGACTTCGGATTAATTTGGAAAACAAGAGGATTTCTTACCACCGCCGGTACACCAATCAAGCACGGTTCCGCAATCAAGGAGCTGATGGACGCCCTCCTACTCCCAGAAGAAGTGGCTATTTTGAAGATAAAGCACATGGGAAGTTGGACTCAGATGAAGCAAGGGGCAACCATCTAGCTGATCAGGCTGCAAAACAAGCTGCAAAAGAACCACAGGAAGTGGAAAGAAGAGTGTCCGGAAATGAAGAAACTCCCATATTTACTCTGCAGACTCTTCCAACTGACCTGAAAATCTTGCGGGAACAACAGGCTACAGTTGCCCCTGAAGAAATACAGAAGTGGAAACAGAAAGGGGCAGTTCTAAGAGATGGAGTGTATTACAACAATCTCAGATTCTGCCTTCCTAAGAATCTATACCCAGCAGTTGTTCAGTGGGCACATGGCCCTGCACACCTATCAAAAGATTTGATGATTGCCCTTGTACAGAAGTACTATGAGGCCCCTGGAATTACCACGCTAGCCAGCAATTACTGCAAAACGTGTGTCATCTGCGCCAAGTGCAAGCCGGGGAAAATGACTAAAGTCCCTCCAAAACACTTGGCCAAGCCCATGTACCCGTTTCAAAGAATTCAGATAGACCACATCCAGATGCCAAAGAGTGGCAACTTCGAATATGCACTAGTAATAGTAGACATGTTCTCAGGCTGGCCAGAAGCCTACCCAGTGGTTAACATCACCGCAAAAACAACAGACGGCTACTTACAGAAATTGTATGTAGGTTTGGATTACCAGAAGTCATTGAAAGTGACCAAGGCCCAGCTTTCACAGCATCAGTAACCAAAGAGATTTGGGCCGCCCTAGGAGTGACCCTTGCCTTCCACACACCTTATCACCCGCAAAGCAGTGGTAAGGTGGAGCGTATGAATGGCACCCTGAAAACTAGAATGCTAAAAATGTCGCAAGAAACAAAAATGCCCTGGCCCGAAAGCTTGCCAATAGCCCTGTTTAGTGTCAGATATACACCTAGAGGGAAGCCCTCATTGTCCCCTTACGAGATTCTATTCGGGTCAGCACCCAGGCTAGGTTGCTATTTTCCCCAGCAATTACAACTTCATACTGATGTTTTGGTAAACTATGTAACTGAACTTGCCCATGCTTTGAACAAAATCCATGCCCAAGTTTTCTCTTCAATTCCAGATCCTGATTCTGACACAAGCAACCACAGTCTGCTCCCCGGTGACTGGGTTCTGGTCAAGAAATTTGTGCGAAAACACACCCTGGAACCAAGATTTGACGGACCGTTCCAAGTTCTCCTGATCTCCCCTACCTCTGTCAAATTGGCCGGAAGGCCTAACTGGATTCACGCTTCCCATTGCAAGAAGACACCTGCCCCAGAGGAAGCTAACTCTATGCAACCATGTGCCTCTGGTACATTATCTCCTTAGTTGGCCTCCTTAAAGCCCAGCAGGTGGCCATCACCAAAGATGCTAGTGGGTACACTTTCTGGTATAATTCATCATGTACCCATGTGGCTACATTCCCTTTTGATTACTGTGATATTGTAGAGTGCCCATTCCCTAAGTCACAGATTCAAGCCATTTATAAAGATATACCACAAGCAAAAGACCCTTACGTTTGTGTAGTAGATGAACAATGGGGTTATGACTGTAACTACTGGGGGCTGCGGGATGGAATACTGGGCCTGCCTGGGGTTATAAACCCAAAAGTGCTTTATCTAAGATAGACAATCAGGGTAGATCCCTCCTTCAAAGAATGACTTTAAGAAAGCCTGGAGGAAGTACCCCTATGAAATTAATGTTAAATATTGAACATCCTGGCCCCGAGGATGCATACCGATATGTAATGGGAATGTATTGGAAGAAAGGTTCCTACAACAAATTAGGTCATTTCTACCTCAGAGATATGTCCCACTCTCCAGAGTGGCAAGGGGCTGATCATATGGTCCCAAATCCGCTAAAACCACATATCCAGTCATTTAAAGATATGATGGCCATCGCTAACCCCACTTTTGAAGATACCATGGCCGCTGAAACTGGATTCAATGACATTAATCTGTGGTTAGAATGGATGAGGTATAATGCTAACAAACATAATAAAACAGCATGTTATGTATGTGGCGGTGCCCGACCCCACCTTGGCACCGTCCCCCTAACTCTCCCTTTAGAGATAGAAGATTGCTTCTTAAGCCTTTTGCCTACCAATATGACTTTAATAGGTCCCTCTGCATGGCATGGACGGCAGAATACCCTCTCTTAGTTGAAAATGTTAAGCCACCAGATGGAATCACAGTCTATAGAGGTAATTACACTTGTTATGCCATGTATGACGGGATTGGTAAATTCATGGGTAATTTTTTCTAAAGGTTATTGCGCCACTTACAGAACTGTTCCTATACGCCTGTTGCAACACCATACCAGGTCATTGGGGGATATTTACTGGTTATGTGGGGATCTACAGTTAAGATCTAGGCTGGAAACTGAGTGGTGGGGTGAGTGTACCCTGGCCAAAGTTATCATGCCCATTCATATTATTTCTGATAATCATCATGACACATACGACCCTCCACATACATCAGCCAGAGTAAGGCGCGAAACCCCAGTAAAAGGCAGTTTTGACCCCCACATTTACATAGATGCCATTGGGGTGCCTAGGGGGGTACCTAATGAATTTAAAGCTAGAGATGAAGTAGCTGTAGGTTTTGAATCACTTTTTACCATAGTCACTGCCAACAAAAACCTTAATTGGATTAATTATATCTATTACAACCAACAGCGCTTCGTGAACTACACCAGGGATGCCCTCCAGGGCTTGGCCGAGCAATTACAGGCCACATCCCAAATGACCTTCCAGAACAGACTGGCCTTAGACATGATCTTAGCCGAAAAAGGGGGGGGTCTGTAAAATACTTCCCGACACTATGACTTGTTGCACTTACATTCCAGAAAACACAGGTCCTAATGGTAAAGTCACTCTGGCCATAGCTAAATTAAATAGACTCTCAGAAGAGTTAAAGAGAAACTCTGGAGTTACTGATCCCTGGAAAAATGGTTTGGTTGGATGACTGGTTGGCAGAGAGCTTTAGTCCAGATTGGTATTGCCTTACTAATTTTTCTTTTTATTCTCGCTCTTCTCATTTGTTGTGTCCTCCCATGCCTAAGGAAATTCCTGCAGAAAACTGTAAACCAAGCAACACCAACCTTCACTCATCTGACAATCGATGATCAAGACCTCATCTCACCCTGTATTCCGCTACAAACTCTCCCGTATACTGATGAAGTGCAGAAAGTCTAGGAAGGGACAGTACAGGGACAGCATCCGTCTTTATGGGTAGACTGCCGTACGGAGAAGTAGTGGATAAGCCACTATGGGTTACCAGCGGAGTGAAGAGTGTTCCTGAACCGTACTGACGGATGTGCTGCAGCCTGTTAGGGTCAAGAGAGGGATAGACTTGCACTTTGCATTAACACTAAGTCAGCGGTCATGGGGTTTCTGTGTCTTTGGGCTAATACTTCTTCTGATACTAACAAATAAAGTTTTGTCTTTTAGCAAATAACATTTTAGGGGGGACTGTTGTAGAATTATTAGGCCTCTATAAATTTGTAAGGCCCCTTTAAATCCTCTTGCTATACCTCTAAGAGGCCCCCATAGTTTTACAAGGAAGCTTTGTCTATAGAACATAGAATTTGCATGTCAGCAAGAAATAGCTTTGATAAAATGTGTATTTACTAAAATCCTTGAAACTTAACCTTGAGAAACTAACAAGTGCCAGCTACGCTCCAAATGGATAGCTGCCAAAAGGCCCCTCCCGTCGAGTGAGCTCCTCATTTTAACAAAATGGCGCTAAGACCTGTAGGAGTTAAGAAATTACGTAGATAGTGACCTAAGAATGGGGAGGGCATTTTACTAACATCTTAGCACCTAAGCCAATTAACAATGTCTATTTGTCTATATCTTGATTTTCTTCAATGATGTAATAATGCCTTTATAAGGGTCTGCGCACCCATTTTCTGTCAGAAGCCATTAAACTTCTCTGAAGTTCTTTCATTACCCTGAACCTTGTGTCTCAGTGTGAATTTACTTCTGCGTGCACGCAACTTTATTATCTTTAATTTGGACAGGAACAGATAGTCATTCAAACTAATTGGTTTGCAGTAAATTATATACGACACTGTGATGTAATTAGTGTAGGACCCACCGATATTGGAGTACTGTGATGTAATTAGTGTAGGACCCACTGATATTGGGGTACTGTGAAGTAATGGTGGGCTTAACATATAATCGGGCCGTATGGTGGAACTGAATCCCCATATGTGTTTGCTGAGATAGGTGATTTTAAGCCTTGTATATGTTAAACTGTATTTGTGTGTGTTTGATGTTCCTTAATCTATATTATGTTTTCATTTGGTCATTACGGCAGCACCATTGCAGTGAAATACATGTTCCTGTAGCATGTGCCCCCAATTCTCCTTTTTCTAAACATAAAATTTAAGACATACAGTAAATGTGAAATTAAGTTGTATGTAAAAATTAGTTTTCTAATGAGTATTTAAATAAACTGCTAGTATTTTGGGGAATGCACATTTTAAAGATTGGACCTAAATCTGCAAATGTACTCAAGGGAATTTTTTTACTTGCTGAAAACAATAAATATCAGAATTATATTATTATTATTATTAATATTGGTATTTATATAGCGCCAGCTTATTCCGCAACACTTTACAATAAAAGGCGAATTTACTAAATGAGACAATAACAAAATGTAACATGAACAATAGATGGTTGAGGACCCTTCTCAAACGAACTTACAGTCTAAAAGCCTATGCAACAAACTGCATTGAAATGGTCCTCACATATTGTACTTTCAGAGACAAATTGGGAGATTTCCATAGGTAGAAAGGCCATTAGGCCTGAATTTGTGGGAGGAGTAAGTCCCCTACTTAAACTCCCAACGCCTACTCACCTCTGCCGATACAGCTTGATTGTCTCCTAGCAACCAGCACTTACGGTCCGAGCTTCCCGCCAAACAGCTCCAGTCTCCAGCAGCAGAAGTATCCAGCCGAAATTCTCCAGCTGTTCTGCAGTCTGCCACCCGTCTTCTCCTCGGTCGCGGTACTTGGCTTCCAGTCACGAGACCGGCACGCTCACGTAAGCTAGTGAGGGAAATAGCGTTCGGCTATTTCCATCTGTTCGGGCCTAAAAACGTAAAGGTAGGCTCCCTTTTTGCTTTTTCATTACTCGTTCACTTATACTTACCTGTTCGTGCATCTCCGCGTTTGCGCGATTTAATTAGTCGAACGCCTGCTATACTTACGGTTCATGGGTCCTTCATACCGTCCAAACTGCCGACCCTCGTTCAGGTAAAACTCTGGGGCAATTCGTTATAATTTTGTTATACCATTCGTGCATACGAACAAACCATGTTCACAAATACTTACCCGTTCAGACATTTAGTGATTCGCATAATATTCTGTCCACCCCTTGCATACTTACCTGATTCATGCTATAATCCTATTCGTGCGGAATCAGACAAATGCACACTATACTTAATTTAAACAGGTCTCCCGCACGGTCTAAAACTACCGATCCCTGTTCATGCAAATATTAGCATTTCGTGCACACGAACTATATAAAACACAGATTTGTATATACTGCCCGTTCGGTTATTTAACTGTTTGTATTACACCTGTCAGTATGAGTTATTAAATCCTTGTATTACTTCAATCATTTACCAACAAACCTGTGTTTCCCGATTTAACTATGTTTAAAATATTAAAACCTCAGTTTATGTCATTTTATCTTAGTACTCGGTTAATTTCTCCTACAACTACGGAATTAATTAAACTATATTTTGAGGTTAATTAATCAACTAAATTAAATCCCCCTGACACCCAAATAAATTGGCAGAATTCTTCAACTCCACGCCAACCCTGTACAACATTACAAACATATATTAACTAATAACACGATCCTCTCGGGTTATACTGTTAAACCCTAAATTTCATTTTATTTCGCTATGGTCTCTCCCTAGTTTACACAGTCATTTAATTTAGCCTCGTTTGTCTTTGTATTTCTGCATAAAGTTATCAAATTCAAGTCCTTGTATTTACAAATCCAGGTATACAGGGAGTGCAGAATTATTAGGCAAGTTGTATTTTTGAGGATTAATTTTATTATTGAACAACAACCATGTTCTCAATGAACCCAAAAAACTCATTAATATCAAAGCTGAATATTTTTGGAAGTAGTTTTAGTTTGTTTTTAGTTTTAGCTATGTTAGGGGGATATCTGTGTGTGTAGGTGACTATTACTGTGCATAATTATTAGGCAACTTAACAAAAAACAAATATATACCCATTTTAATTATTTATTATTACCAGTGAAACCAATATAACATCTCAACATTCACAAATATACATTTCTGACATTCAAAAACAAAACAAAAACAAATCAGTGACCAATATAGCCACCTTTCTTTGCAAGGACACTCAAAAAGCCTGCCATCCATGGATTCTGTCAGTGTTTTGATCTGTTCACCATCAACATTGCGTGCAGCAGCAACCACAGCCTCCCAGACACTGTTCAGAGAGGTGTACTGTTTTCCCTCCTTGTAATCTCACATTTGATGATGGACCACAG